TTGGGAGGAGTCAAAGGAGTTGCAAATTCTGAGACATCCTCACTCCCCAAAACCTCCCACAGGGCAGTCTCCACCTGATAAGAACAAATACCTCCCTTTGTACAGTACATTTATTTTTTGCCCCCTTTGGTTTGCCTTTTGTAACTGAAATATTTATTGCTTACTAGATATCCAAGAATTCCTCACACTTCCCAGATCCCTTGCAGTTATAGATGGGTTCAGGTAATTAGTTTTGTTCAACGGATTGTTACCGATCTAAGAATTTAGGAGCTAGCAAATGACCCTCCAACAATCTCTTCCTATTGAAGCAACCGATAAACTGCATGTTGAGATGGCAGCATCACAAGGCCAAAGTAGCCCAAAGTTCCAAATTATCACACAGCATTTATAGTTAATCTTCATCATTTGTGAGTTTTGTATTTGTAAATTTGCCTAGTCACTAAATTTATTTGTGACTCTAAAATCAATACAGCACATTTTAGGTCATTCACAGACATGTGTAGAGTGATGAGACACACATTTCCAGCTGAGGTCAAACAAGGCAATGTTCTGCCTTCTTGCTGTAATTCTCATACTGTAAGTAAATGTCTTTTTGGTGGTCTATTAAGCGCCACAGTTTTTGCATCTTTGTGCTTTTTCTTGGTGATTTTACTGTTTAAGATGGCCCTCAAGCTTAGTGCTGAAGTGTTGTGTCATGTTCCCAAGTGCAAGAAGGCTGTGATGTGCCTTACAGAGAAAATATGTATGTTAGATAAGCTTCATTCAGGCATGAGTTACAGAGCTATTGGCCATGAGTTTAGGGTTAATCAATCAATAACATACATTAAATAAGGTGTCTATAAACAGAAACACAAAAACAAGATTGTGTATTTGATCAGCTGATGAAAATGTTGTGACCAGAGGCTCACAGGAACCTAACCCTGAATTTCCCCTAGGAGCATTGGTTCAATAGTCACTAATTCAGTTATTTGTAGCAAATTTATAGAACATAACTACTACAAATAACAAAAATTTACTGTAGCTGCCTTGAACAATTGCCCAACTATTATTGAAATCTTCATGAGAGAATAATAAGCCTTTGTTATACCAAATCACTGAGATTTAGGGGTTAATTTCTTTTTGTAGCATAGCCCTTGATTCCCTGATTATGACACTTTTAAATTATGTTTGCATTTTGGTATCAGGCCTCTGAACTCTAGGTCTCCATTCCATACTTACTAGTCTGATGACCAGAAGGTTCTGTAATATATTTACCTGAAAAATGGAGATATTAATAATATTACCCATCCACCCAATTTTTTTCACTCCCTTATAGTATTATGTGCCTGTGATGTGCCAAGCACTAGTACAGATCCACTAAATGTTATCACTACTATGATTAGATTAGCTCAAGATGAATTTTTTTTTTGCAACTAAAAGAATCTTAATGGCATCTTGAGTGAAAGGGCTTCATAAAAAATATGAAACTACTGAGTTAAGCAAGGAGAGGATCACTGAGGACTCCCTCAACCCAGGGAAGTTGTCTGGCAGTCCTCATTGAGATTAGAAGAGGAGAAAATAGTAATAAGTTTGTTTTTGGACATATTACAAACAAAGTGCCTGAGGAAAGACAAATGGAGATTTCTAGTAGGCAGCTGAATGTTTCCTCTGGAGTTTCTAAGAGAGGTTTGGACTGAAAATGGAATTAAAAGTCATTAGCATACAGATAGTAGTTGAAATAGAGTAAGAAGCAAAAATGGCTAAGGACCAAACATTTAAAGTTTGGGAAGAAGATGGCTAGCAACACAAGTTGAGGGAAAGCAATCTAAAGAAAAACCTGAAGATAGTGTTTTTTTGTGGCCAAAGGAAGAGAAAATTGCAATGAAGTTGCAATGGTCAGAATGATCTATGGTTGTTTTGAACTTTGTCCATTTAGCCAAACTGGAATTAATTTCCCAGGATTCCTTTCTTTGTATGGTTCCATGTTACAGTTGGCCAACAAGAGAAATTTGTATGAGATTTGGGAGGAAGAAGTGAAGGAGTGAAGACCTCTGGTTGGAAGTGGTAAGGGATAGACACATGTTGAAGGAAGAGGTTATTTTTCCTCATTGAAAAGAAGACAAAAAACAGGCCAGATGTGGTGGCTCATGCCTATAATTCTAGCACTCTGGGAGGCGTAGGTGGGAGAATTACTTGAGGCCAGGGGTTCTAGACCAGCCCAAGCAAGAGCAAGACCCCATCTATTAAAAAAAATAGAAAAATTAGCTGGACATGGTGGCGCTCACCTGTAGCCCAGATACTTGGGAGGCTGAGGCAGGAGGATCACTTGAGCCCAGGAATTTAAGGTTGTGGTGAGATAGGCTGACACCACAGCACTCTACTCAGGGCAACAGAGTGAGACTCTGTCTCAAAAAAAAAAAAAAAGAAGGCCGGGCGCGGTGGCTCACGCCTGTAATCCTAGCACTCTGGGAGGCCGAGGCAGGCGGATTGTTTGAGCTCAGGAGTTCGAGACCAGCCTGAGCAAGAGCGAGACCCCGTCTCTACTAAAATTAGAAAGAAATTAGCTGGACAACTAAAAATATATAGAAAAAATTAGCCGGGCATGGTGGCACATGCCTGTAGTCCCAGCTACTTGGGAGGCTGAGGCAGAAGGATTGCTTGAGCCCAGGAGTTTGAGGTTGCTGTGAGTTAGGCTGACGCCACGGCACTCACTTTAGCCAGGGCAACAAAAGCGAGACTCTGTCTCAAAAAAAAAAAAAAAAAATGCAATTCAGTGTTTTTTAGTATATTAATTATGGTGTACAACTACCACCACTAATTCCAAAACATTTCTATTACACCAAAAAGAATCTACATACCTATTAGTTGCTGGTCCCAATTCCTCCCTCCCCAAGTTCCTAGCAACCACTAATCTACTTTCTGTCTCCATGGATTTGCCTGTTCTGGACATTCAATTCATTTTCATTTCTCCTATCTTGGCCTTTCAGCCAGACATACTCTCAGGTAATGACTAATGTGGAGGACTTTATATTGCCTCCTTTTTATCCAATCATCCCTTCCCCATTTGGGCAGCAGCCCTTACTTAAGGTTGAGTGTGACTCTACCTCCAGTTCCCGGAGAAACCTTACCTCTATGATTGGTCAGGAACGAGCATGTGACCATATGACCTAACTTCTTGGTGCAATCAGAGCGGTACTCAGAATGTGTGTGTGTGTGTGTGTGTGTGTGTGTGTGTGTGTGTGTGTGTGTGTATGGTTTGACGTACATACAGTTAATGCCCAAATGTTAAGTGTACAGTTTGTTGAATTTTTACATTTATAGATACTTGTGTAATCGCCATGCAGATCAAGATATAGAACACTATAACACTCCGGGTTCTTCATGCCTTCTCCCAGTCAGTATCCTCACTCCAAGAATAGCCATTATTCTGACCCAGAAGATTTGTTCGATGACTGAGAAAGGAGGCATTGTCTCTTGTCCCCTGGATGTGAGTAAATAGGTATAGAGGCCTAGGACCTTCAGAAAATTATCTGAAGGATAATTTTGAGCAAAGCCAGCCTGCAGATAACAAGGACACACAGAGGAGAGCAGAGACAAGAAGACTGCAGAGAAACAAAACCACAACTCTAACAACAGTGAATTTTTATATTAAATCAATCCTGAAGCTACACTACCTTTGAACTTCCCAGTAAGCTATTTTATTGTTTAAATAGTATAAAATGAATTTTTCTAAACTCAGAATTTTAACCTGGGTTAGAATCTTAGCTTTGTCTCTTCCTTCGTATGTGCCTTTGGGCAAGTTACTGAACTTACTTAACTTCTTTAAGCCTCAGTTTTCTTATCTCTAATAATGGGGGGATATCTTCCATAGATGATTATTTTATGAAATACACATACATACTCTCTGTATAGTATACATAAATACTACATATATAAATATCTTCTTACATGTTGAACACTCAATAAATGATAGAATTTTTTTGTTTTTTTTTTTTGAGACAGAGTCTCACTCTGTTGCTCAGGCTAGAGTACCATGGCGTCAGCCTAGCTCTCAGCAACTTCAAACTGCTGGGCTCAAGTGATCCTCCTGCCTCAGTCTCCTGAGTAGCTGGGACCACAGGTCTGCACCACCACGCCCAGCTAAGATTTTCTATTTTTAGTAGAGATGGGGTCTCACTCTTGCTCAGGCTGGTCTCTAACTCCTGACCTCAAGCCATCCTCCCACCTCGACCTTCCAGAGTGCTAAGATTACAGGCGTGAACCACCTCTCCCAGCCTAGAATTTTTAATAATAAACATTTCTAAAGACTTGAGTCATCCAGGAATGGAATAGGATCCCTTCTAGATAATAAATTCCCAATAGCTAGAAACATTGAGCATCAGCTGTATAAATCCTTTCAGTGGCATTCTAAATGGTGTTCCTTCTTTGATGGGATAGGTTAACTCTGAGGTCCCTTCTAACACTAAAAACCTGTGGAACCCTTACTGATTTGAACACCGCTCTGAGCAATGGCAGGGAAATGGAATAAAGGAACTGTTTTTGGGCCCAGAAACAGGTAAAAATAATGTCCAGTTAAAGTTAATGGTGCACAAGAAAAGCAACCTTAGTAGAATGGGCAATGGAAACAATACTTCTTCAATTAGTTATACTAACAGCTCTGAGGATCTCCTTGCTCCCGCGGAGAGGACTTTGTGTACGCATCAGGGAGGGAGAGGATGAAATTAGGACTCTTAACAGGGAGGTTGCAGGAAAGTGGGAGCTACAACAATAAAGCCAAGAAAAGAGTCAGACTCAGGGGCTGAGGAAAGAGTAGAACGCTGAGGAGCACAAGCTTCACTGGCATCTGAGCTAACTTTTTTGCCTGACCTATGTCTTTCAGTATACCCTCCCTCAGAGACAGACCACTGAGCAATTACCAGCAGTATTTATTAGACACTTATATGTTGAATTCTCTATTTCCAACTACTCCCTTTATTATCTTTTGCTGGGTCCAAAGAGATTGAAGCCATCCATTGTCAGCTTTACTTGTCTTCAAAGTTCATCAGTGCCTGTACTGCAAAGGAAACAGGCTGTGAGGCTAGAGAGCTGAGCACATTCAGAACATATGTCTGGTGAAGACCCACTTTTCCAGGTTCTAGGTTGCCACACAAATCTTTATTAATCTTTACTCTAAATGCAGCCATATGAGTCTGTGTACTCTTTTCCATAAACAAGTTAATCGGGATTAAAGATGCTACACTCCTTTGCTACCTTCACCTCCCTTTCACCCTGTTCCCAGAGAACAAATGAGAAGGCAGGGCTGAGAATGATTGGAGGGAGCAGGATGAACCTTAGGCAACATTTTGAAGTAAGCAAAGCCTGTCTTTGACATCCTGCTCTAAATTCCATGTTCCAATGTTACAAATTCCTCTTATTGCCCACCGCACACACACACACACACACACACACACACACACACACACACACACACACACACACACACAGAGTCCTCCTCCCTAGTTTTGTATTCTCACATTTAGTTGCTTCCAACCCATTATGAGGAGGAAAACCCAGGTAACACCAGTCCATATTAAATTGTAAAAAAACACCCCTAACTCTTCTGGGTTTTTTTTCACTTTTATAGGGAAATTTTATTAATACAAATTAATCTCCAAGTGGTGAAATTTAGGGAAAATAATTATGAGCAGATAGTTCTCAGCTTACATCAAACCCTACTATTTAAATCACATATTTCTCTCTGCTGAGGCTAACGCTAGGATGGGCAGATAGGAAGAGAAGTTTGTAATTCATAAACCTCTTTTGGGGGTTGGGACTGTGGACACTTGTGGGCTTTCTGCTCACTGTCTTGATCCCCACAGCTGTCCAACTTGAGCCTGAAGCTTTGCTGCTCAAGTCTGAAATGCGACCTTCAAAGAGAAGGAACATGTACAGAAGGGGTGGGCTGGCCAAATAAAGCAAAGGCCCACAATGTTCTAATACCCAACAACTGGAATTGGACACTCCTCTTCGGACCCAGACCTCATGGAATTTGGGCGTCCCCTGCTGGAGAAGCAGTTTCTAGTTTTTCTCTAAGTTAGAGGAAATTGGAACACGTACCCAGAATGTGACCTATCAAACCAAAAATTTGCCTTTTTTAGGTGTGAGGCAGAAATTGAGAAGTTGAGATGACAGAGTAGTGGACACCCTTCTCCTTCTCCTCGGCTATATATGAGATATATATAGATGTATATATATATATTTTCCCCCCATGTACTCAACTCCTAGTCCCCATGACTGCCCTAACTCCATACCTGCAAACTCTTGCAACTTCTTCCGCTCCTCTAGGTTATACTGAAGCTTTTCTAGCAACTCGAAATATCGGAAGAGTGAATCTCTGGGCCAAACAACACGATCATCCTGATCCATTTCCATTAGCCCAGGCAGATTCTGATGCACAAGTGTTTCCCAGTCCAATTGATCTATAGGGAGGAATGCTTCATTAAAACATGACTAGATTTGTGAAAGTTGGATAAGCGCTGACAAATCCTATGGTGTGGGTGGGAAAGTAGGGATAAAAGAGGAAACAGGAAGTAGGGAGGCAAAAGAGTGCTCCACCAAGAGACCCCTTTTTACAATGAGCAAAGAGAGTTACAGCCACATTTATCCAAGGTGAATGAGAACTACAGAGCAAATGAAGAAGCAAGAAAAGAGTAATTAAGACCAGAAAATCGGACTGATGGAGAAAATTGGAACGCAGATATAATAGGAGAGCTTCTCTTAATATTGGGATATTTTATAAAGAGGAGGAGTCTGAATTCAAATGGAAGAAACCCTTCTTCTGCTCACCAGTAAATTCATAATCTCTGGATTCAGAAAAGGAGGAAACGGAGGAGGATATGGAGGAGGAAGATGGATACTCTTTTATTTTTGACAAGCATGCTTCTGGTTTTGACAAGGACCCTTCTGGTTTTGATGCAATTGCCATCAAATCCTTTCCTAAACCCTCTTTGGCAGGACTGTCTTTAAACTCTTCTTCATAAGCTTCACATGAGTCCAAAGATACCCTTTCTTGACGTGCTTTTCTGTAAATAAAAGGAGAATTTTTTTTTTTTTATGTTGCCCAGGCTGGACTCAAACTCCTGGGCTCAAGTGATCCTCCTGCCTCAGCCTCTCAAATACCTGGGACTACAGGCACATGCTACCACACCTGGATGAAAGCAGAAATTTTATTGCTTCAAAAACATTTACAGGATAGAGTAGTTCATTCATTATTCTGTTCCTGGCCCTGGCCAACCTCTAAAGCTGGGACATAGGCAATGAGGACCAAACTATTCCCAAACTCTAACCTTGGGCGCTACCAACCTCAATCATCCCCAATGTGTCACTCTTAACTCTTCTATTCCCTCCCACATCCCATCCATCAAGAAATCCTGTTGACAGAATGAAGGCTTTTATCAAGACACACAATAACAAATACTGGCGAGGATGTGGAGAAAGGGGAACCCTTGTACACTGTTGGTGGGAATGTAAATTAGTGCAACTGCTATAGAAAATAGTATGGAGGTTCCTCAAAAAACTAAAAATAGAACTACTATATGACCCAGAAATCCCACTGCTGGGTATATACCCAAAGGATGGAAATTCAGTGTATCAAAATGACATTTGCACTTCCGTGTTTATTACAGCACTGTTCACAATACCCAAGATTTGGAATCAATCTAAGTGTGCATCAACAGATGAATGCATAAATAAATTGTGGTACTTATATACAATGGAATATTATATAGCCAAAAAAATCATGAAATCCTGCCATTCGCAACAACATGGATGGAAATGGAGAACATGATATTAAGTGAAATATGCCAAGCACAGAAAGACAAATCTCATATGTTTTCACTCATATGGGGGAGGTAAATATTAAAAACAATTGATCTCATGGAGACAGAGAATAGAATGATGATTACCAGAGGCTGGGAAAGGTAAGTGGGGAGGGGGGCATAAAGTGGCAATGGTTAATGGGTGCAAAAATTAGATAGATAAGGATAGAATGAACAATGTTTGATAGCACAACAAAGTGACTATAATAAAAAATAAGTTATGGTATACTTTAAAATAACTAAAAGAGTGCAGTTGGAATGTTCCTAACACAAAATGTTAAATGCCTGAGGTGATGGATACCCCAATTATCCTGATTTGATTAATTTATATTGTAGGCCTGTATCAAAACATCACATGTACCCTATAAAGACATACAACTATTATGTACCCATAATAATTAAAAGTTTTTTTAAAAAGAAATCCTGTTGACTCTACCTTCAAAATATATCTTTTCTCACTAACTTACTAGTATCACCTGGTCTGTGCCATCATCTCTTGCCTGGACAGCAATATAACCTCCCAACTGATCTCTCTGCTCCTTCCCTTGTTCTTCTATAATCTATCATCAACACGGCAACCAGAATAATCCTTCTTTTTTTTTTTTTTTTTTTTT